TCATCCACAGAGAGTATTAGTGCACTCAGGCCCTGCTTCTTGCCAGGATGCCTGCCAGAGCACTGACAGTTCCCAGGGCTCAGTTCACCAGCTGTGGGAGGAAGAATCTGTGCAATGGAAGAGCTATCTTCAAGAAACGATATAGCAGCCACCTGACCAGGTAGCAGGGTCTCATCCTGAAGAGAGAGGTGAATGGGTCACATGCTTCAAACATACAAAATACAAAGCATTAAGTGACCTGCAAAAAGGAGAACCTAATTGCAGAGATCTTGAACAGGATATTCTCAAGTGAAGGATGCTTCTCTCGCTGGCACGACGTTTGATAAATACAAATGCTGAGTGCCACCAGAAACCCTGAGATATTAATTTGTAGTCCAGAGGAAACCTGACTGCTAACGCAGAGAGCTGGGAGCAGTGGCCACACCAACAAGCAGAATACTAATTAACTGATTGCTCTGCAAGGGCGAGATCTACTAAGCATTGCACAAGCAAGCGGCCCCGCAGAAGAGAGGAACAGCAGACTACGTAATTAAAAGACAACCTCAAAACAGACCTGCATCCAGGCACAAATGGAGCCTGTGACTTCACAGACATGCAACATCCCTAAACAAAGACGGAAGAAAGTTATTAGAAGGAAGGGGCAAGAGGGGCTCGAAAAGGCAGAGGCATCTTTTGCATTCAAATCTACCACTTCCTTGCCTCTAGGGCCCTTCCACGTGTTGGGGAGGGGAACTCGTGGCTCTCAGCTCAAAGCACTTGGGCCACACTAGGGCTGCTTAAGTATGAGCCTGCAAGTAAAATCGAAGTCACACTTGGCCCCAAGTCAGCTTGATTTCAATGTGCACAGTTTTCAGGGATTAAACTGGATGGCTCAAGTCCATACATGTGCAAGTTTCTATTTTTCAAAGGTGTGCTGCCTGGTCACCTCTGACGAGCATTCACAGCGATGATACAGGAAAGGTACAGAGAGACTCAGGCCGCTCAGCTCCTCTGTTAAAAGCAAGGACCTCTGGAAGAAAAGCCCAGTCATTTTCATAGCACAGACAAGTTATTTTTAACACCAGCCACGGCTTATTCACTCTACAGAACAGTTTTGATCAAAACTTTTCAGTAATTGTCAGTCCATGACAGAGACTGGAGAGGAAAACAGTTTGGCTCAAAACATTTGAAAACAAGACTTTCCGAGGAAGCACCAAACACTCCAAGGCATCTCTGAGGCGTGAGAAGAGGGGGCCATCAGACACACCAAAACAGCGTGAGTCAGGGCAAGATATTCTTTCTGAAGCCCCAGCGACGTAATTCCTTCCATCAGGAAAAGTTTATTAGATTAAACATAGGAATTAAGTGCTTCAAAGGGCTGTGATGTTGTTCTTGGAATATCTGGAGAATTTCACTTGATCCCATGAAACATGCAGAGGGTCAGAAGAAGCAGCCCTTCCAGCAGTAAGAGCGATGGTAGCTCACCTGCCAGAAAGGCTACCACTGGTCTAGCGTTAGCTAGCAAAGTGAAACATGATTAGACACACCACAAACTCCTGTCTTATCCCAGCTGTGTAATAGAGTAAGAGGAAACTCCTCCCTTCTGTTGGAGCAGAAGCCTGCCAGACACAATGGGCTGCTCCCTATAATGCCATCCTGCACCGTCACCTTTCTAGCTTAGCTCTGGCAAGGCAACCCTCTGTGCAAAACACAAGAATTTCACCCAGGAGAAGCAGCTGAGGAGGCGGTGACTGTGAAGATACAAGGGGCTGCAAATCCAGACAGCACAAAGCTAGGCATATGGTTTGAAGAGTTGGCAGTGCAATATGGAGATACTGGTTGCTGCAAGACACTGAGACCTTCTTATGCTGTGACATCCACATGCTTTCACTTTGTGGCCCATCACCACTCTCAAATATATCCCAGGCACTAAATCCAGACTGTATCTGGCTTAAGCTGCCGTTTTTAGCTGGGAGTAGTTTCCAGCCGTCATCCAATTAAGAAACAATAAAAGCTGTCATAAAAATCCTGCTGTGCCGTTTCAGGAAGGCTTCCTAGGCCTTACTGCATCCAAGACCGCCAACCCTTCCTGCAGTCAGAGACCAGGGGCACATGTCTGAATTAAGCTTGTTCACCTCTTCTGAAGGCTCAGGGTCACAGACAACATGCTCTGCTCAATTCTCAGCCCCTTCAGGGAAAATCGAGTTAAAGGCAATGCTCTGCATCCTGCTGCAGCATTGTTCTGCATCCAAGAAAAAAAAAACATATTCCCAATTAGTTCCAAAAAGATCTGCAGAAATACTTGCTCCTTGCTGACACAGGACTGGTGGAGGGAGACCTGGCTCATCTTACAACCCTGCTCCCCACTATGGGAAAGCTGCAGCCCCAGGACCCAAGCATATGTATTCCTGGCACATGATTTTGTTATTCCTGTTCACAAAGGAAGGGATGCACAGCTGCAGTTAACCCAGTCTGTGGGCTGCATGACAACAGAACCAGAAGCATCAGCCATCTGTGTACCTGCCTGGGCAGCCACAGAGTTATCATTCATCTGCAAAGAAATTTTATCTGCTTCAAGTCTGCACAGGTCTCAGAGTAACCACCAGTCTGTCTCACATCACCTGAGCCTTCCTCCTTACCTGATCGAACTCTTGACTTCAAGATCTAACCAACGGTCCCAAAACACAGATAATGCAGATATGAATGCTTCTGACTGTCTGTCTGGCTCTGCTCTACGCATGCAGGATCTTCCCTCTTGCTTGCAGCAAGCCAGCCTCTATTTACCTTATTTCCCTGCTCAGGAGATAGCACCAGGGCAGCACGCTTTGAGGAAAAGAGGAACCAATAAAATACAGCTATTCCAACTCCCACCTATTCCTATGACTGTAGAGCCAGGAGGAACTGCCTGCGTACTGCCCCTGCTTCCCCAAATGGTGCCTCCCTGAGCAATTCCAAATCAGAGTTCACCTGTCCCTTTCTTACTACTGCCTTCAGTCAGCCTGATACTCCATGCCACCTCCCATGGCTGCCACTCTCCAGTGCCCATGCATAAGGAAGGCAACAAAACTCAAAAATGAGCCATCCTGCTCTGCCCCAGTTTCTGCCACAGCCATAACACGAAGAGGACAGACTGCAGCAAAGTCCTCATGTTCCTGGGCTCCCAACACATGATGCACAACAAGAAGGTTCCCTAACACTGTAAACCAGCACCCTGCTCCAGGCCCTCAATGCTGAGAGGAAATTCAGACAAATTTGTGTTGTTGCACTGAGGACATGCAAATTGCAGCTAGTGTCTAACTTGCCTGTTCCCCTCAGACAAGTCAGGATTAGAGATCTGCCTTCCATGATAGGGCTGGCTCCAAGAACAAACTCTACAGGTTTATATGGCAGCTTTCCTAGCAGGCTTCTGCCTCCCCAGATCCTGGAAGCATCTGGGCCATTTGTGCTCAAATTCCCCACAGCTGACTCCCCAGAGAGAAGCCAAAAGAGCTCAGACAGCCCTTCAAAAACAGTTGGGACTGCCTTAAGAACAAGCATCTCTAGCAGCAGTAGAGATTCTGCTCACTGTAAAGCAGCAAAGTAGAACAATTCTGCTCACTGCAAAGCAGCAAGTCCAGGAAGCACACATGCTCCAAGACCACATCCCACCTTACCTGCAGCGAGAAGGTCAGCGCGAGCTCCGTCTCCACACGTCCACTCGGGGGCAATACGATCTCGTGTGACCGCAGGATGCGCTTGGAGCCCTGCACAGAAACAAAGTCCATCGGGTGAATTCCCCAGAAGCCAGCCCTTACATCCCATCCCAGTCCTATTTACTGAAAACCAGGAAACATTGTCAAGGACTGCCACAGAGAAAGTGCACGGATGGGTCTCACCTTGCACTTCTGTGAAATATTAATGAGACAAAAGGGAGATATTTGACTAAAAGATCTGGGCATATTTACTGTCCCTAACTGCGACAAAGCAGCTTTTGTTCTGCCAAACCCCAACATTCAAAACTATGAGTCAACTCCCACCCCTTAAGTTCAAGTCTCATTTTTATCTCAGCCAGCAGGTACAAGACCCATCGCCTCCTGGGTTCGGAGGCTGCAGTGTCATGCCTAAATCTTCAGGGTTAGCCATGACGGACTGGTCTTTTCTTTTTATGCACACACCTCGCCCTGGGGAAAGTGGAGATTTTAAACAACTGTGAGTAGTGGTGGTTATAAAAGAAAAAAAAAATGCACTAAGCATCACAGCGGAGTCTGGAGACCTGACAGTATTACAGGGCAACTCCACATCAACACTGCGTTTGGGCTGCTGCACACTAACCGAGTTACTGGGCTATTGACTGTGTAAGCATTTCATTTCAGGGAATGTTTCAGAGAAAACTAGCAGGAAAGCACGACAGACTGCTGCCTAGCAAATCCTTCTGCACTGTTCAAACAGAGTGGCAAGTTTCAGAGGTCCCTGGCTCAATGTCCTGCTGAGGCTGCAGATCAGGCTTTGTCCAAACAGGCTGATCTCCCAGAAGCACAGAATTGTAGCTCTCAAAAAAGCAGCATCTGGGAAATCAGAAACAGATTGGGGGGGGGTAAATACCTCCCAGCTACATCCAAAAGAAAATCTGGTCTGCCCATATCCGCATCAAATAGCATACTGAGATGAGAGAAAAGCACGGACTCGTTTATATCCCTTCCTCCCCAACTGCATTGCTCAGGCAGCCAGAGTGAATGCTGTAATTTGCATCGGTGCCTCAGCTCCTGCACAACACAGCACAGGCTCCTCTGTGGAAAAGCCGAGGTGCCTGAGCTGCAGTGGATCAGAAGACAGACAGCAGAGCAGGGTGAGGAGCCGAAGGGCTCCCTCCAGGAGAAGCACCACACACGCAAGTAAAGCACAGCCAGCCTCGCCGCTGGCAACAGCGGCATCTGTTCCATCGGTGCAGAGCTCCTAAGAGCAGCAATCGTGCTTTACTTGTTATGCAACTCGAAATCTAATGAAAGACCAAATATAGCTGCTTTTAAAAGACCGCAGCAGATAAATAGAGCAACAGCTTGGGAAATACAGTTGACAGCTCTTTGAGCATCACTGTTCAGGAGGCTGCAAGGAGACATGGGAAATGCAGGTAAGGTGCTCTCATTAGGTCTGAATTCAGTCATCCCCTCTGGAAGGGCTCCAGTGCCTGACACCTCTCTCTCGCAATTCTCCATACAAAGGCAGTGAGTCATCTGACAGAGATCATATATATATGATGATCCAGTATCACCAGCCTCAAACAATAGCCATGTCAGAAACCTGAGTGCTGGCAAATTAAGTGTCCCTGAAAGAGCTTGTCAGCATCAGCACCATAACCTGCAAGCTATAAAGGGACTTTTAATAACAGGGATGCAAATCCACCTGCATCTGAGACAGCTGCAGCGCTACTGACCCACCGTTAAACAGCACATCACAAAGAAACAGGGGTGCTGATCCAGCACAAGGGACACCCAAGGTGAGGTACCCTCTGGAACAGCAGTCATTCCAGTCACTGTAACCCCTAGGTTAACTGGAAGGACAGATCAAAGGCAAAAGAAGGACGGCCTGGGGATGTGAGCTGCAGCCTGGGACTTGGCAGACAAATACCCTAAACAAGGCAAGACCCTCTGCCTTCCAGTTCTTCAGGGATCTGCCCTGGTGTAGAAAGGACCACAGAAAAAGTGCTCAGGTTCAGTGTTTGACTTACCGTAGTAAGGCAGATCAAAACATGCACCCAAAATAGACAAGAAAGTCTCACATGTTAAAACTCCCTCTGGACTTGCAGGTCTTGGGCAGTATTCCCAACCTTTTCACCCAGAAAAAGTGTATGCAGTCAGCAGTAACCCGGACAGGAAAGCAAGGTTTTGCTCTAGTAAAAGCTACTGAATTCTCCAACCCAAGTCTGACATGCTTTATACATACATCATCCACTGACAAGTCTCAGGCCCTTATAGTGATGCATCAATCATTTAGGAGTACAAACATATGGAAAGCTTTCAGCTCTGATAAGCAATATCTGACAGCCTGGGAAATCACAGACATGCTTCTTCTGAGGTTCCCATGAATTCAGGTGTGCAAAACAATCCCCTGCTGTGGGTGTTTGAACCCCCTCCAACATAGAGGGACACATTTTTATCCCAGCTGGACTGCTCATGGAGATGAGAGAGGCCAGTTAAATCCTCACCTGCATGTTATTGTACCATAGACCCTTCATGACTTCACCTTCCAAGCTAGATTTTGCGTGTTTTGACACAACCAGCTCTGTGCAGGGGTTTGCCTGGCTCTTTATTTAAAAAGCAGCTGCTTTTCAGCACGGTTAATGGTATTTTTCTACTTGCAGGCCTGCTAGGCTTTTACTCATTAAGTATTCTAGCATTTGCGGTGGTGGGAGCACATGAGTTGAACTGATGCTGTGATGCACTGTGGAACTGAGTCCCCTTCCTTCCTATCCTGCCTCCAGGCAGCATGACCTACATGTAGGCACCTAATTAAATGGCAAACATATGCTGTAAAGTGGGTTATTTACCTAGGATGACAGCTGTATTTTATGGAAACAAATTAAAACGTACACACCCCCTACAAATCCACTGACAAGCACCTGGCCACGAAATGAGTTCGACTCCTGATAGCAGAGCTGCTCATCAGCAGAGGAAGGCCCAGTCTCCAGACCCCCCAAACCAGGACCAAGTTACCAAGATGTTCAGCCCTAAAGTGAGCTGAAGCATGTTAAATAGAGAACAAGGCTTGGATTTAATGACAGCTCAGGAAGAAGACATGAGAGGATATGACCTGTAAAGAGCATTTTTACATACAGATAAGCTCATGCTGAGCCCTCGGTGTATTCTTCACTTACAACAGTGAAATTCAGTAGGAACATTGGGGAGGGATCACAATCCACACATCCAGAATACCCTGATGTACTTGAGAAGCCGCCCGTGGCTGCAATGGAACCTCACATGGAGGTGAAGCTCAGTTTAGGCATCTGCCAGTATTTTTACCCAAGCAACACATTTAATTCTTAGAACTGAGCAGCAATTACCTGCATTTTGACAGCAATGACCCCAGAAATAAGCTCCTTATCCAATTCCTTTAAGACTACCAGTTTCTTTAATGTCAAGCTGCACAACCTGCAAACAGGAACAGAAGAGAAACAGTTACAAACATGTCTGAAAAAGGAAAAGCTCTGAACAGCTTTTACACACAGCAGTATCCCCGTTTGAGGGAGAACAGGCTCTGGACACAAGCCACACGCTGACACAGACACAAAGACAACAGAAATATGTGAGGCTTCCCTGGCTTTTCAGACTGAATTTCTTCAACCTTTCACAAACAGAAGGAGGTAGAGAGCAGGTACGTCCCACTGTTTGATACAGACCCATGGCCACACGGGAGCGTCTCACAGCACAGACTTCCACCGAGCACAGCCTGGGAATTCTTGCTCTGAGTCAGACCAAAAGCTTTAGGGTCAGAGGAATTAAATTCCAGCAATATAAAAGGACTGGGTCAGGCTAATTTTAAACTCGTCTACAAAGCTTTCCTAGATTGTTGGATTTTTTTCAGTTTCAGGCTCCTGGCTCCCAAAGATCTTACTCCCACCTCCTCCTGTCAACCCACACATTCTCTTCCTCACCCCAAACAAAAGTGCCTGCGAGTGGCTCTGTCGTCTCTAATAGGAAAGGAAAAAAAAAAAGGAGAGGACTCAAGTAGTGCCCTCTGGCCCTGGTGTTCACATGCCACACATACACAAGTAAATCACATTCTTTACCCAGGCAATGCTACATTGTTCTGGTTAAAGCTGTTTGCACTTCTGCCTTCCAGCATGGGAGCTTGAGAGGGGATAAAGTTTAGACTAGGTGCAGCTGAGCTAAGACTCTGAGGTAATGGGACCACAGGACTGGCACTGTCACAATTTCACAGAAGTTACCACCAGCCGGTGTTAATAAGAAGGCATGCCAAGAAACAGACTTCAAGGAAAGATAAACCTGAAGCAAAGACAGCTCAGCTTGAGGAAGGCAGAGGCCAGAGAAAGTTGCCAGGTGGCTGTAGTGACTAGACATCACCTGTCATCCTGGGTCAGGAGCCAGCACTGCCTTTGTGTCAGGTCCCTACCCCACAGCGTGGGCATCTTTGGCCTCTGCCATGTGATGTTAGTAAGCCTCAGCACGGCTCCTCTGAAACCCACTGCAGAGCTCTTTCTTCCAGATCAAGTGTAACATCAGGGCTGTTCACGAAGGGGCCAAGTCCAGCAGGAGATGGGAAGGGAAGAGGAGCTGACGCTGGATTTTAGTGCATGCCCAGGCAGCTGCAGCACAACTGCCATTGACTAAAGCCTGCACTTGAACTACAGGACTCCACGCTGGTGCCAGGAACCTGATAAGTCACTACTGCAGCGGACCCTTGCACCGCCACCACCACTTTCTCCACCAGGGTGGGAAGCTCAAACATTGCTTTGATGCAATGCCTGAAGGCGGACACAATCAGCCTGGGTGCAAAACTGCAGGAGAGATGCAGCTAATGGCTGTTCCCGACAGGAGCAGTGGCAGATGTTGAAGCAACTGCTGTCTGCCGCATCTAGAAACGCCTGTAGCTCTGCCTGAACCCTGCCCTCTCGCACAGGGCTAGGAAAAGAGAAGAGCTGGACTTAGCTCTTGCCAAACCTGCCCTCGCCAGTCTCTTCTCCACTCCAGCACACATAATCTGCTCTCCTTACTTATTTGCAAAGTACTGGTTCCTGCTATCAGTCCCTAAAAACCAAGAGAAAGAGAGAACTAAAAGCTTTACAGAGTTTTGCATCAGAAGACAGCGCAGCCAGAGATGGTACAGAAATCACAAGGAAGGTGGAAAAACTGGGTATGCCGGGGCCTCCATTGCCCTCACACACCACCAGCAGCTGTGTGCAGTGTCAGAGACAAACGTGCCGGACAGTGCGAGCCTGGAGGTGCTGGGAGCCGGAGGAGGGACAGCAAAAGTGGACAGGACAGCTGCAGCTGCTGCCGGGCTGTCGGAGGGGAAACCAAGCATGGTCTCACCCGGAGGAGAAACCAAGCGCAGTCTCACCTGCGGGCAGAGCCTCCCCTGAGCAAAGCAGGCACCTGCGGAAGCAGGACAGCACAGACCAGCGTGTTCAACTGCAAACACAAGTGTTCTGGTGCACTGGAAGCCAGGTGAAGGTGTGTTCCTCAACCCAGAGCACTGGAGAGGCCGCTGGCTTTCCTTCCACAGCCTGGACAAAACAGCAAGCAGACGCATGTGGCCGCTGCCGTGAAGCAGCTGGGCCAGGATCTGGAGGAAGGAGGCTGTGATGCCATTTGTTTTCTTTGTAACGCTGTAGCTGGAGGACAATTGCGCTCAGCTTGCCAAAACCCACAGAGCTCGGACTGGTCAGGTGCTGAGAGCAGAGAGGTAGGACAACACACTGGCATTGTCTCGGCTGACAGGCAAGGAACAAAAGCCTTTTCTCTCCAGCCCCAAGCTCAAGGATGAAAAAGGTACGGGAAGAAACAATGGTGTTCTCAGCACCACAGCAGAGCACAAGGAGGGCGTTCTGTTCTCCACCAGGCATTCCTTCAATTCATCATTTATGAGCTTTGATCAAGCCCCGTGGAGCACTTGCTGCTTGGAAAAAAAAAATTAAAAAAAATGTAAAAGCCTCCTTCACAGTGATCAGAAAAACAAAAGCAGTTAAAAAAGACATGGGACACATCTGCTTGCTTATCTCCCATTGCTAGGCTGCTGGTACTAAAAGGCACTTCACATAAACAACAATGAAATGTTTATATTCTCCATCGTGTGGGAGAAATAAAATCAGAGTTTAAGTTCCACCAAATCACTCTTATCCTCAACACACTTAATCATTCTGAGTCTTCGGTCTAAGTTTGTAGCCTACAAATAAAAGCAATCTTCAGAATACATGGCAGAAAGGGGCCGTACCTTACTCAAATAATCATGAAAAGACATATTCCAGCATGTCACTGCATCCAGAGCCAGCGTGGTGCCCCTGCCACCAACACAAGAACCCTGAATCACTCACACCTACACTTCCATACACTTCTCTTTTGCCTAGATTCTGCTGTACTTCCATCAAGTCTCAGGGATCAGGAAGGGGATCAGTCTCACAAAACATTTCTACCAATGAGTGTGTTGATTTGGAAGTTTAACATACATACATATTTGATTTCCATGAACACAGAGAAGATAACTTAGAGCGCAGGCACACGAGGGGAACTGAGGAAGCCTCAAGTCAGGAGCTGAAAGAGCCTGAAGTATTTTGAGTGGCCTATAAATAGCCTGGGGCTGCAATACAGGAGGTGTAGGCAAACGCTTTCTTTGCTTGTTTGTTCCAGCATTGACCTATGGTTGCACATGGGGAGTTAAGCTAGCAAAAGCACTAAGTTAGACAAAGCAGCGTTAAATAAGGGCAATGGAAATCTGAGAGCCAAGATTCCCACCCTTTTCTGAAGGTTCATAGTACATCTCCCTGCTAGGAGCACAGCTGGGTCCCACACAGCCGCAGGCAGTGCCTGCTTGCATCCCCTCTGGTCACACACGTCCCCACCATGGCGAGGCGGCACAAGGTACTTGCCTGACCCCGTTCTCAGGTTAACAAATCATGAGCCAGCTTAACGTGTTCCACAAGAATAAAACTCTTCATCTTTTTACATCACTGCTGCAAGAATGTAGTTTTTATTAAAGAGGAAACCTGGACCTGACCCAATGGTTTCAACTCGCCCTGCTAATGGAAGTTGTGAATAGCTTTGTCATGAGCTCCTTGCTCAGGGAGGCAGTTATCTGCAAAGAACACAACATTCTGATAATCGAGATCCAGCAAACATGCCCAGAACAACCAAATAAAGCGTTGCATTCTTTACTCACTGGATGTTTTGCTTTTGCATCCCTCTGAGTAGAAAGATCAGGAAAATAAACCCCCTCCAAGAAAGAGACTGCCTCACTGAATTAAATGTCTGTGTCTCCACAGGGAACGCAGTAATTGCACTGAGATCTTGCTCACGCAGAGACAGTCGAATCAACAGGAAGGAAAAATTAAAAATTAAAGACCTGTATTTTAATTAAACCCCCCATTAAGAAGTCGAGAATAATAACAGATGCATCCACAGCTATAGGGGACTCCAAGTGCAAGACGAGAGCTGGGGCAGGAAGACTCTAGCTCACTGCACAGATATCCTTTATCTCAGTTAAAAGCTGGGAAGACATTGTTCCTGGAGAAAACACTTCATGCCAGGAGTGCTCTCCTCTGAGGTCTGTAAACCTCAACCAGTCAATGGCTAAGGAAAGTAACGAAGGAACTGGTCTCCATTTGGTCACCAGACAGTTTCACCTCACTCAAGTTATTTCAGCAGTTCAGGACAGCAAGCAGCCTCCTACCCACGTGTTCAACCTCAACTTCGAGTGTTTTGCTCTGAGCTGACACTTTACACTGAAGTCAGTCCCAAAATAAATCGTGAGCCACTTGAAGGAGAAGCAGAGGGAGACACCTGCCTACGCACACGCTTGCCCAGACGGAGCCACTCTACACATAGCTCCATAGGCATCCGTGCAGGAGAGGCCAAGTAAGAAGCCCTGCGCAGCATTTTTCTGTGACAGCTGCTTAAGCAAGGTATGAACACTTACGGCGCACGAACAACCAACTGCACAAGCAGTTTCTTATGCCTGCTTTGTCCAGCCCAGGAAGGAATGGATGGATGTACTTGCTGCTGCATTCACATGCCAAAGACAAAACTCTGTAGCGGCCTAGGAGAGCTAGCCCCAGGAGAAAACAGAGAAGAGCTGTCCTCTAATGTCACTAGAGGATCAGAGCAGGGCTTTCAGGCAAGGGTATCAATGGTAGAAGCTGGAAGAAGAATGCTTCTTCACTTTCCATAGCTTATGAACTAATTCCCTCAAAATGATCTAATCTCAGTCCCATTCTCGGGTAAGCCCTAAAACAGGAACAAATTAAATGAGGAGACAGAGGTCAAGCACCCCAACATCTATCATACCAGAAACATAACTCGAGTAACTTGCAAAGAAACCTAATAGTCCTGTAATAGTCCGTGCTTACTTCTCCTTGATTCACACTTATCACCAAGCTAAACGGCAACCTTCAGACAGCTGTTCAGTCCACAGATCC